GGGCCTCCGCTCAGCGCCGACTATCCACTAACGGCCTGTGTTTTAGCAGCGATTCTAACGCCGACAAAGTCGGGGTTGGCAGTCACAAGGCTTCGGTCGCTCGACAGGTTCCCATGCCGGGGGCCGACGCCGTCCGTTCGAGGCGCCGTCGCTCGGTCACGGCGGGGGTGTCCTCTCCGGCCGGGCGGCGTCACGGCCCGACCCCGGAGGCTCCCCGGGCGAGCGGGACGAGCTGCGCCGCCGCCGCCGCCGGCGCCCCCGGCTCCAGCCGTCGGGAACAGTCTGGCGCGCGGCCGGAGCGTGACGCGAGGCGCCGTGACGCCCGCGCCGCGATCCGCGGTGTCACGCGATCTGACTGAGCACCGCCCGCGCGGCCGAGGGCGGTCCGTTCCGACTGATGCCGGCGGGTGGTCGGGAAACGTGCCCATGTATGCTGAGCATGGGAGAGCTTGCCTTCTTGAAGGTATGCGCACTTTTTGTGTGAGGTATTCCTGGTGAGTTCAAGAACCATGCCACGCCATCAGGGAGTCTAAGAATATAGGTAAGCTCATACCTGGTAAGCGTGAAGAAAACTTATTGATATGCTGTCTGATTGATAACGCAAATATATAGTTACGACAGTGAGGTCCGCCACGAAGCTCATGACTGGACGATTATCGTCTTTATTATGATGGCAGACCTGCGCCCAAAAACTGCCAGCGGGGATTTTTAGCAGCCAAACAATACCGGACTGGTCCCACCGGATGCTGATTCGTCAATCGGCGGGCAGCACGAGCTGGCCAGGGAGAACGCTGGCCCAAGGCTAAGTCATGTTCTCGGGATACCGTGCACAGCAAAAATCCATCCTGAACCGAAGCGCATGATTCACACGTACGAACATCTGAAAAACACGGCGACGCCTCGACTCGTTGGAGCCCGCATCGCCCGCATCGCGATCCACTCATCGCGTCCGTGCAGACCGCGCTCGGCACCACAACTGGCACAGCGGACCCGTCCATCACGCGGTGCGGGCGTGCCAGGAGGGCCGAACCGTTCCGGCCGCGTGGGAGAGCTGCGGCGGCGACGGCCCGGCCGCCGCACGTCCCCTGCCGGCGGCCGGCCGGTGTGGTCGGCCGGGCCGCACCGCACCGCACCGCGAAGCCAAACGCTTTGCTAACGGACCGCGCTGTCCATGTCGGGCCATTAGGACCCGACGCTCTCTCTGACGGCCATTAGCGGAGTGTCGTCTCGGATTGTCGCGGACGGCAACGACGGCGTGTCGACGGATGCCGGTGGGCCGGCTCCGTTCAGTGTGTTTCCCCTGACTGGTACAGGACCGATCATGATCAGGAGGACGTGCCCGACTGGTGGTACTCTGGTGACCGTCGGCCAGCGTAGGACTCCGGTCCCGGACCGGCCGTGGGCTGGTCAGGGTCTGCTCCAGCCTAAGGCTCCGGTCCCAGACTGGCCGTGGGCTGGTCAGGGTATGCTCCAGCGTAGGACTCCGGTCCCAGACTGGCCGTGGGCTGGTCAGGGTCTGCTCCAGCGTAAGACTCCGGTCCCAGACCGGCCGTGGGCTGGTCAGGGTATGCTCCAGCGTAGGACTCCGGTCCCAGACTGGCCGTGGGCTGGTCAGGGTCTGTTTCAGCCTAAGGCTCCGGTCCCAGGCTGGCCGTGAGCTGGTCAGGGTCTGCCCCAGCGTAAGCATCCGGTCCCAGACTGGCCGTGGGCTGGTCAGGGTCTGTTTCAGCCTAAGGCTCCGGTCCCAGGCTGACCGTGGGCTGGTCAGGGTCTGATCCAGCGTAAGACTCCGGTCCCAGACTGGCCGAAGGCTGGTCAGGGTATGCTCCAGCGTAGGACTCTGGTCCCAGACTGGCCGTGGGCTGGTCAGGGTCTGCTCCAGCGTAAGACTCCGGTCCCAGACTGGCCGTGGGCTGGTCAGGGTATGCTCCAGCGTAGGACTCCGGTCCCAGACTGGCCGTGGGCTGGTCAGGGTCTGCTCCAGCGTAAGAATCCGGTCCCAGACTGGCCGTGGGCTGGTCAGGGTATGCTCCAGCGTAGGACTCCGGTCCCAGACTGGCCGTGGGCTGGTCAGGGTCTGTTCCAGCCTAAGGCTCCGGTCCCAGGCTGGCCGTGAGCTGGTCAGGGTCTGCCCCAGCGTAAGAATCCGGTCCCAGGCTGGTCGTGGGCTGGTCAGGGTCTCCTCCAGCGTAAGGCTCCGGTCCCGGACTGGCCGTGGGATGGTCAGGGTCTGTTTCAGTGGTGGTGGACCGACCGATCAGGTCCTGACATCAGTCCCAGGCCGCCAAACACATCAGCGGGCTTCAGCCGTTTCACAAAGTCCCAATGGCGCCGATCGTCGGAAAAGACGCCCCACTGCGAATTTGAGTATCTTAATGGTGAAGTGGATCATTCGAAGTTTAAGTAGTCGAATAAAAGACCAAATGATCGTATTCAGCGAATATTGGCATGGTAAAACAGAGTTAGCTTATTCGAAAACACTTCAATATTTGCCGGAAAAGCGCACAAGTACTTAACCAAAATACCACAATAGCAATTGGGAACTAGTTAACAGTTAGCACTAGCGTGTCTGTAGCCGAAGGACACGATGGAGATGGAACACGCTGTGATCCATTTGCACCGGGTTTGAAAGGAAGATCACGACCCAATGCTGTAAGTATCGCCGGTGTGCCGGACTTCCGTAGGCCATGTCGAAGATCCGTGGGCCGTATCGGACTTCCGTGGGCAATACCGAACATCCGTAGTCACCCGCGCTAATAACAGCAACGCGTAGTGTGAGGATCAAAAGGTTAGCAATGCGTCAAATGTCATCAGGTTTGAGAGAGAGAGAGAGAGAGAGAGAGAGAGAGAGAGAGAGAGAGAGAGAGAGAGAGAGAGAGAGAGAGAGAGAGAGAGAGAGAGAGGGAGAGAGAGAGAGAGAGAGAGAAAGACAGACAGACAGACAGACAGACAGACAGACAGACAGACAGACAGACAGACAGACAGACAGACAGACAGACAGACAGACAGACAGACAGACACAGACAGACAGACGCCGATCTACCCATGTACTAGAAAGCATATTTTTGACTGGGTTCAGTTCATTCAGTTTTTGCATTTGCGCATGTGACCAAAAAATACAGGGATTCGCACGCCGAACTTGGACAGTGGCCTTTCTCCTTGCGCCGAAAATCTTCTCAATAGCAATTCGACTGAGAATTTGACGCATTAAATCCCACCTGACATACATTCCTGTGGATATATTCTTGACAATTTTGGTAAATATTCTGCACACTCTGCTTCCATATTCGAAGACGCCCAGCGTGGTGTTGCAATACCGACGCCAGGCTGAATACCAGTCTAGTGAGTTCTTACGTGCAAACCATCAGATCATATGGGGGATCGGTGCGCAGCCTCAGTCCTCAAATCTTGGTGGATGGTGTCCATCACATGCTCATCCACTGGCGCTGTTTTCTGGGAGTCTGTTACGTGGCCTTTACGGTCCGGAACACTAGCGTGGAAGTGTTTTTAACGACGTGAATTTCATTGCTGAGAGTGTCGGAAAATCGGTCCCAGCCTGGGGTGAGCGGGGATGATGGACCGTGTGAAAAGTCAGTCACCCGAAATGAATTTGTTGCTGCGATGCCACGCACAGTTCAACACGGCAGGGAAAAGTAGCGTTGACATTACAGGAAAATTCCCCGATTCCCATACCCTGTGAAGTACATTTTCCTTTCGCACTACGAAGCCTCTTTAAAACTACAAACACGCCACACCAAAGAAGGCCCTCGTTGGGCTGCACCCCTTCACCATCCACAGAATGGGTCACGCGATACCACATATACCGCCGCGCGACTATCCTTGTGTGAATGATCGGACCGACCAGTTGCGACCCGCATCACCGACCGTGCAGCTGCTGTCAGCGGCAGGCCAGCTGTCTCTGCACACGGCTAGTCAGGTGAAGTGCTAACCTCGCATTTCCGAGTGCGCTACACGGCTCGCGCAAGCTGCTATCCAGCGTCGTGATTTTTACAGCTGGTTTAAAGAGCGCTGCGGAGATGTTCTCAAGTCATTCACGCTGGTCTGTTATTATCTAAATCACTCTAAATGGCGCCTTTGCCAGTGAACCGGGTATTTTAACAAGGCGAGACAGAACAGACAGCTGGCATACATTAAAGCCACGCTGGATCCCGTGACGCTGATAGCCCGGTCTGCAGATCTTCACACGACGCCCGAGAAAGTGATTGCCCGTGAGATAGTACGTGAACGTTCCGGCATTCGCACTGCACACCGCCTTAAGTAGAAGCAAGCGCAGTTGACTGCAATCAACTCCAGCTAATCAATCAATGCAGATGGTCAGGTGTATCTACAGGTTTATCGTGTCCGACATGAGACCTTTCGATGACTGAATAACCTTAAAAGGAATCATGAAAAACGGCCAGCCAAGCGGACATTCATGTCGTCTCTCTAAAGCTAGCCGCCGAATCAATTTTATTTTCTGTTTAGAGTGGGCTTGGAAAGTTGTGAAAGATTGATAGAAAAACTTAAGGTAGCCTAAAACATTTTACGCTCTAGGAAAAGCTAACGATTGTAAATTCAGCATACTGCTCACTATTTAAGACTGTCGTCCATGCCACGCATTTTGGGCGTCGGCCAAGTGTGTGCCCGTTCATTCATGCACGCAAAAGAAACATCCACAAACGGACAGAGAGGCACTGTGGGTGCTTACCTGAGGCACAGTTCCAAGCGCTGCTCCTGCGGCGGGGCGGCATGTCGATGTAGATGTGGGAAGAGGGCACGGGCGAGCGGCCGGCGCCCTGGCTATTGTCCTCGGAGCCGTCGGAGCTCGTGTCGTCCCGCCGGCCGGCCTGGTCAGCGGCCCCTTCGCGGCGCGGATGGCCGCCAAACGCCGAGAGCAGGGCGCGGCGGGCCGGCCGCCGGCCGCCGGCCCTCTTCGCCGGCGCTCGCACCGGTGACGCCTCCTCCGCCGTCGCGGCCGCCGCCTCCTCCTCCTCGGCGGCCTCCTCCACCACCTCGGCGATCTCGCCGATCTTGGCCGAGCGGTGCAGCGTCTCCAGGTAGGAGCCCATGCGCGTGACGCCCTTGCCACAGAGCCGCTTCAGGCTGGACGACTTGGAGGCGCGCTCGAGCGTCTGTGCGGGCCGCGCGTGCTGTGTCGGCAGGCTGGCGTAGCCTGGCGCGCGTGGGTCGCTGATGGACAGACTCTCGATCTCCAGCAGGCTGTGCGACTGCGAGTGGTCCCAGTAGTGCGAGGGCGGCGCGAACGACGACGACCAGAAGTGCGACGGCTTGATGTGCTGCGTCGTCGCCGCCGGCGGCGGCCGCTCCACGCCGGTCGGCATCGCAGCGCGTCTCCGTCCCGGTGGCGACCGCTCGAGCCCGGCCCGGCGCACGGTCGACGAGCGGCGGCGCGTCCGGCGCGGCTGCGGACGACCGCGCGACTGCGGCGTCGGCCGCCGCGCCGCCGCCGTCGCCGCCGGTTCCGCTCGACGCGACCGTCGCCGGCGCTTGCTCGCGGCGCACTCTAGTTTCTCAGCGGTGCCGTTAAATCGCGCCGGCCTCGGCGACGCGGCGAGGTGGCGCCGCGGCCGCGTCATGTGCAGCACGCTCATTACAGGTGTGGGCCGCGTGCTGCCAACAGCCCCGCTCCGGGTAATGGGAGTCGGGCGGCGCTCGTCTGATGCCGCTGCGGGCGGACCGCCGCGCCCAGGTGCTGACGGCTTCTCCGGGGCTGACGGGGCACTCCGCAGCTGTCGGAAGCGGCGCGCAGCGCGCCTGGCGCCGCGGCCTGGCCAGCACAGCACCGTCCGCCGGCCACCGCAACGGACGTCACGCGAACAAAGAGAGGCTGTAATCATTCTATCAGAGCGCAGAAGTCTGGCGCGCCGTCACTTCTTCCGGACAAGCACAATGCTCCAGAGCTGTCGGCTTCTTCATGCCCGTTAAGAGTCCGCTGGCGCCTGTCGTCGATGAGCCTGGTCGCCTCTGCACGCGTCTCCAGACGAGTGCCAGGCGCTAACGGTGCCTCGCTGGTCGCCTTTGTCGTTCTATTTGGTTTTCTGGTTTTGTTTTTTACGCTCTTGTAAAAACCGCAATCGGATTGTTTTGAGCATGCTCCGAATCTGCATTCTAGTGCTCAACAGCGTGCAGACCTGTGGATCTGCTGTTTGCCGAGCTGCTATTCTGCTGTCCATGAACTAGTTGTGCAGGTCAGCTGCCGGTCTGCCTGCCCGGCGTCGGCGGCAGGGCGACACGCGAGGACAGCGTCGGCGCCAGCGCAGGTGAGAGATGCCGTGATGGCCGCGTCTGCCGCCAGCACGCGCGCCATCTGATGCATCGGACGCCACAGCGAGAGAGGATCCCGGCCGACCGGCGCCGGCCCGGCCGGCTGTCCCCTGCCGACCCCCCGCCCGCGCCCCCTCCGACCCCTCACCGGACCTGTCAGCCACGCGGCGGGGCGCCTACAATCGTATCAGCAGGTCAAACAAATGACAGATTACGCGCACCTTCACGTGGCCCCATCGACGTCGCGCGCTGGCCGGGCAAATGGACGAGCCGAGTACAGAGTCGTGTTTAGGGGGCGATTACGGGCTCTGCTGATTACGTGCCGAGGCTCGCTCCTTCGTTCTCCGGAATGGGGGCCGTGTGCGCCAGGTACATATAAGTTATCGCAGCAGGGATAAATCTCTGCCACATGTCAAGGTTCGTGACAAATTGACGGGCCGGGCAAGTCGGCGGGGGGGGGGGGCAGTCCCAGGAACTTGGGGAGGCCATGACAGTTGAGGGAAAGGCGCTAAACGGAGATTTACGTGCACCTGAGTTCTGTATTTCTTTAAACTGGATTTTCGTTTAAAAGTAGCGCTGAATGTAATGTTAACATTAGTGACAATATCCGCGTTCCACGCAGTGACATTGTGGACAGAACCTTGCAGCGCAGGAAGCCCATGTCGCGCTTAGTAAGCAATTTTGACACCAAAATTAACTCCCTTTGCCCATCCAGCCGTTAACAGGATTGCAACTCAAATACGTGTCGAATCTCTCACGAAGGCATACATATGCCTACATGTTACCGCATTGTTATCACATCCAATGCAAAAAGCCATCTGCATACTATTACGTGGCATGCCTCTCGTGACCCTTAAGACCAATCCAGACCCGTACAATGACATGAATTACTGAAAAGACTAAAAAAATGGCTGAATGAATATCGGAAAAGGTGCAAAATCAGCCGCAGTGGAAACTTACAATATCAGTATGTCCAAGAACCTGAACAAAACGCGATCCATGAGACTGTGAGACGGCCTTGATGTGTCTGAACCTACATCGATCTTGTGCACAGCGTGAGACCGGATGAATATACAGGCTTTGCTCCCGAAATGTGTTATTATACGCGCTGCGCATGGGTAAAATATCGCCACTTGCCAAACATGTGTTGAACTGCTCCTGCTTCCAGCAGGCAGAGTTTCGCCTGGCGTCCTGAGAGTTTTGCGGTTGTTCGGCGCGGCGGCGAGGCAGCGGTTTTGCGAACACAACGAATGGCTGCCTTTGGTTCAGAGCGGTACACACGTGGCTATCCTTCGTTTGACGAGACTGGAGCATACTTGTGCGCGTGCGCACAACCACTCATGAACATACGTTAGGCTATCATTGCAAATGCCATCTCATGCGTGGTTTTCTATCCAGTGCATCATACTGAAATACGGTTAAGTCATGCATAGGCACGTAGATACATGCATAATTACACGCCAACAAAACCCCACGTGGATGGGTACCTACGTTATATCATGAGTGTATATTTTCTTTTTCAGCGCGTTAGCTGTGACTCCAGCCACAGCCACAGTCCATGATCTCCAGGCCCGCCTGGGAGGCAGACGGCCGGGGACGGCGGGGCGGGGGCTGGGGCCGGCGCGCGGCGCCTGTGGTGAATGTCCTGTTGGTGCGCCCGGCGTCGTCGCGCTGGGCAGCCGCGCGGCGCGTGTCGTGGCCTGCGCCGATCCCACGCGCCGCGTCCGACGAGCCCCGCGCCCGCAGCTCGCACGCGCTGGCGCCTTGCAGTGATGGAGCGACGACGGTGTGCGGCCAACGAGGCGGATGCGTGGCAGAACCTCAGGGGAGGAACGCGCGATGGAGTGGCGCGCCGCGCCCGGCCGGGCCCGACAGCCAGCCATTACTGTGACGCGTCAGGTGGGGTGGCACGCAGTGTTTGGGGAATGTGTTACCTCCATTGTGAGCGGCGAACAGGGTCGATTGACGTCCCACTCGCTTCAATGGCGACGAGACTGCGCTCAAACAGGACGAGGTCTGAGGGTAATCTCGCTGTCACCGAGCCCACTGTCCGAGCGAAAACATCGCGGTTTCCCATTGTGCGGACGGAGACGTTATTGACGTCGACGCCCGGTGCGGTTTAAACGGTTCAGACACCCAACAATGGCACAGCGCTGGCCCACCGCGGTGTCGTGTTTGCGCTGCCGCGCCGCCGTCGCTGCCGGGTCCGCTCCGTCTCCGCGCCAGGGCCTACTCCGGACCGTCGGGCGCGGCCGTTCGCGGAACAGGGCGAACACGGCCGGGCCCAGGGCCGGGTGGGCGGACCACCGCCCGTCACGTGACAGCGGACCGAGGGTCGAGCCGGGCTGACGACGACGGGATTGATTTGTCCCCGGTCCGGCGACACGTGTCCCCCACAAGACGGATGACGGGCCGACAGCCGGGCCGTGACTCGGCAAACAGAGCGTGTTGTCGTCCATAAATGGATTGGGCCCATCCAACAAGCTTTCTGGTCTTATCTTTCCTAGAACGAGCAGGAAACGTCCTGAGCAAAAAGGCAGCCTTTCTTCCGCCACAAATCACGACCACTGAAGGTTTCATGCTTTTGCGCCTTGTCTTCGTTTGTTATGTCATGAGCTTAAAAATTTCACACTGGAAGCGTTACTACCTCGTATTTTCCACCTCCTAGGGTCAATGCTAATAAAGCCAAAGCATTTCAAAATTATTGCGAAATAAAGAAGCAGCCCCCGTCAAAAGAAACACACCAAATGAATCAACAGGTAAGTTGCTACTTGCTGCGTATTTATCTTAACAACTATTTTGTGTTAGGACTAATCCTTACAAGTGCCAGCGGCAGTAACATCGGTGACAGCATCGACCGTCAGCCAGCAGCAAACAACTTGTTGCGGATGTCGTGCGCCATCTAGAAAGAAAGACAACAGAAGGCAATATCAGCACGACGATAGCCACCGATTGTTCTCGGCCTCGAGCCTTAGTTACAACCACGCGCCCATACTCATCACGGCTAACTGTCTCCATCACTGCCTGCGCGACGGCCCCAAACCATGTGTCTCCGTTCCTGTCGTGCCGCTCTGACTGACCTCCGACTGCCCCCTCCTATGCCCTGTGACACATCAGCCCCTCCTCCCCCCTGTACAGCGGGTCGGTGGTGCCTTTGTGTCAGGCGTCTCCGTTCCCGCCATGCCGCTCTGACTGACCTCTGACCCCCTGTGACACATCAGCCCCCCCCCCCCTGTACAGCGGGTCGGTGGTGCCCCTGTGTCAGGCGTCTCCGTTCCCGCCATGCCGCTCTGACTGACCTCTGACCCCCTGTGACACATCAGCCCCCCCCCCCCTGTACAGCGGGTCGGTGGTGCCCCTGTGTCAGGCGTCTCCGTTCCTGTCATGCCGCTCTGACCGACCTCTGACCCCCTGTGACACGACATAAGCCCCCCCCCCCCTCCCCTGTACAGCGTGTCGGTGCCTCTGTGTCAGGCGTCTCCGTCCCCCACCCGCGCCATACATGTCGGGCCTCGTGTTGCAAGCCAACGTCTCTTTAAACATGGGTGGAGCGTGCGGTGTGGCAGTTAGTTATGCCAGCGACCACACCAGCTTTCATCAAAGTTTGAGCAATCTTACATCTTCCCATCGCAAGATGCTTCCCACTGCGCTCCGTCCCACCGGCCATGCCACCACTCTCCACCCGTGCCGGCCACGTGTCCCACCCTTAGCGTTCCATGCAAGAGCAGCGGACCACTGTTTCTGCGTCTTGCGTCAGTCAGTCCGTCGCGTGACCCGCACCAGCTGCGTCCGCCAGCAGCTGGCCGTGGACGGCGTGGACTGGATTTGCCGACTCCGGAGCCACTGACGACACCGAACCCCACCTGTCGAGCGCGACCGGACGACGGCTGACACAGATACGCCGGACGAGCGCCTGCCCGGCACCGGCCGGCGTCGCTCTCGGCTGATGCGCGTGACGAACTGACCCGGTTGTCGAGGCGTGCCTCGACAGAGCGCGTCCCCGCTGGCGATGTATCACGGCGGCGTGGCTGCTGACAGCAGGCAGGCTGAACGCGAT